AAAAAAAAAACCAGTTAGGTAAATTCATAATTTGTTACTAACGCTCATATTTTTCAGGTGTTGAAAGATTGGTCCCAAAAAGAATTATCCAAGAGTTCGTTCACCTATTCGCACTAGAGCTCTTGCAAGGAAAATGGCTGACGAAGCTAATTTAGAGAAGGTAGCTCTGGAAAATCGTGTGGAAAATATGGAAAATACTTTGAAGGAATTGATGGCTTCCTTTCAATCTCTTCAAGCAACCTTAGTCACAAAGGCACCTCTGACAACAAATCCTTTATTTGAAGGAAATGTTCCGGTGGCAAATCTCTCTGTAGCCACATCTGCTTTAACTCTTGGGAAGGAGCCTATGTCATCTGGCCCTCCTGATCCAATTATTGGTGGAACTTCTGGGACAAAACCATTTGTTCTAAATGCTGGTGTTGCTACAATTCAGTCTAATGGTCAAGAAGAGATTCAAGTTGTCAAGTCAATCACAGAGGATGAAGACAAGGCAATTAAAGCAAAGGTGCAGTTGATGGAAGAAACACTAAAATCGATGCAAGGTGTCCAAACCAATAAACCGGTTGACATCTCATCCTTGTGCTTTTTCCCAAACATTCAACTGCCCCATAAGTTTAAATTGCCTGAGTTTGATAAGTACAATGGCACTGGTTGTCCTTATGCCCACTTGACAATGTATTGTAGGAAGATGACTCCTTATGCCAATGATGAGAAGCTAATGATACATTACTTTCAAGACAGTCTGACAGGTCCTGCAGATGCTTGGTTCTCTACTTTAGACAAAAGTAAGGTCAAAAGTTGGCATGATTTGACTTACAATTTTATGAAGCAGTATGAATACAATACATCCCTAGCTCCTAGTAGAGAAGATCTTCAAAGAACAGAGAAGAAATCAAGTGAAAGCTTTAAGGAATTTGCTCAAAGATGGCGTGGATTGGCTGCTCGAGTTCAACCGCCACTAACTGATCATGAACTGAGTAATTTATTCATTAAATCAACTAAAGGGCCTTATCGAGAAAAGTTGATGACTTGTGTAAATTACACTTTCACTCAGTTGGTTATCGTAGGAGAGCAAGTGGAAGATGGAATCAAGTCAGGGATTATTATTGATTATCAGGCAATAAAGAGTCTCCTTGAACAATACCACAATGGTAGTTCAGGGATTTCTAGTTCAAGGAAAGTGGGTCAGAATCGAAAGAAGGAAAATGACACTGGCACCGTTAGCTCAGTTTATGAGACGTATGGGAGAAATAATCAGCCACGTCCTCGAGGGCAATTCAATAATTCTTTCCAAGCTCCAGCTTATCAACCACCAATTTTTACAAGTCAGCCAAGGCCACTCTATGCCTCTGGGATCAATCGTCCACAACAAGAAAGAGTGAGACGACATTTCAACAAACTTCCTTTGTCATACACTGAAGTGTTTCAACAATTGGTAGCAGTTGGTCTTGTTACACCCGTACCTATGGTGCCATTAAATCCACCATTTCCAACATGGTATAACCCACAAGCAAGATGTGAATACCATAGTGGAGGTGTTGGACATGACCTTGAAAATTGTCTTGCTTTAAAGCACCGTATCCAAGATCTGATAGATGCAAAGGAGTTACAGATTGCATCAGAACCAAAGGTTGTTGGTCCGAATATCACTAAAAACCCCCTACCAACACAGGATAGTTCAACGGTCAATATGATCGAGAAGGATTTTGAGGAAGGTCAAGAGGTGGCTGCAGTTACTCTCACCAATCAAGTTTCATCAACTCCTAGACAGCCTTTAATATTGAAGGGACCAACGCTTACAGTTCCACTCAAAGAAGGTTGATCTTAGAACTGTTACTGATGAGGGATTGAATAAGTGAACAATGGAGTTTTTCCCTATTGCTATCATTTTGGAATGAGATGTTAGTCTTTATTTGCATTTTCCAAACTCCCTTCATATTGCAATTTGAATCTTTGTTCTTCATGTTTTAATTCATGATTCTTTAGTTCTTGATTTTTATACTTCCATGAGTTGCACTGTTAGTGAACTTGAATTCACTGTTGAACCCCATAGAGAAAATCGAGGGTTGAGAAAAAGAGAAGTGAGGGAGGTGATTGAGGGGAAAATAATGGATGAGTGGGAATGAAGGAAATGTACAAAGAGAAATTGATCTCAAAATTTGAAACAAACATTCCTATGATAGAAAGCTTGAGAAT